AACCTTCGAAAGAAGCAACATGGGCCCAAATCCTCTTAGGCTTTTTCTTAGCATACTGACCCCTACATATGGGCAAAATATAAGCAAAATCGGCGTGAATCACTTGGAACGGTTCCCTCGTCAGTGGAAGTAGCTCTTGCAATAAAGTTAAATTGATGCTTTTGTCTTTCGATAGGTATTCTTGTTTTCAATTTTTTTCCTGTCTTTCTTTGAAAAATATTATTAACACCTACAATACATTTAACAATGTGAGTGACTTCAGTTATTTTTCTACCATTGATTTCAATTCATATGGTGTATGCTTCTTAGGTATACACTTAAAATATCTCCGAAGATCTTACCCATGGGTTCGAATCTTAGCTATTACATAGTTAGAAGATTCTGTGATTTAATAACCGCAACACAATCGAACCATCGATATCATACCATGGCTACCTCAGAACAGGAACAAAGCATATTAGCAAAACGATATCAAAACTTAGGAAAAAGCATTTGGTAAGATTGTTCTAGATTTTTTAAAACTTCTCATCGTCAGAAACGTTCGCACCGAGAGACAGACTTAAACGATCCATTTTCATTAATTTTTTAACTTATTGATAACGTAGGGTATGTATGGGAGTCGTGCACTACTCTTCATAAACCTGCTTTGATATAGTACTTCAGTTGTTTGCTTACAATTTATTTACAGGGGAGATTTTCCAGCACTGGCTGTCGCGCATCAGGCTATCAATTTAGGCCAAGGATTTAGCGATTACCCGCCTCCACAGTATCTAGTTAATATTTACAAGGATGTTCTGAAGGATTCAAATGTACTTCTTCATCAATATACACGAGGTTTCGTGAGTAATCCTTATTGGTAAAGCGTTTAAAAAACAGAACTATTAATTATTTATATGCTTGGATAGGGTCACAAACGACTAGTCGATGCTATTGGGAGAGCTTATTCTCGTTATCTATATCGAAACATCGATCCAATCAATCAAATTTTAGTTACTCCAGGTGCTTGTGTTTCTGTTTTCAACGCTCTGCATGGGCTTATTAATAGAGGTGACGAAGTAATTTAGTTCGTTCTCGATGAACTTAGCTTTATCTACTGAAATCGTCAATCGGTTTTTAAGGTCATCTTAATCGAGCCATTCTTTGCTTGTTATGATTCCATGGTGCGTTTAGCTGGTGGTATTCCACGATATATTTCACTGCGAACAGTAAGATTCAAGCATTGATGATTGTTCGATGTTTAACCATTGATATTCAAAAAGTTGAGCTCTAAAATAGGAAAGTCATCTTCATGTGCTGATTGGAAATTCGATTGCAATGAACTCGAAAGTTTGTTTAATTCACGAACGCGAGCAATTATTTTGAATACACCCCACAATTCCCTAGGCAAAGTATTTGCTTTATCGAACAGAACATTGCGATAGAGACTTTTGTCACTCATTGTTAACAAATAGGTATTTATATGTGAAGAGTTAGAGTTCGTTGCAAACCTTTGTCAAAAACATAATGCAGTATGTATATCTGATGAAGTCTATGAATGGTTTATCTACGGTAACAAAAAGAAGCACTTCCGTATGGCAACTCTACCGGGGATGTTTGGAAGAACACTTACAATCGGTAGCGCCGGAAAGATATTTTCATGCACAGGACTGAAATTAGGTTGGACAATAGGATCAGAGAATCTTATCCGAGCCTGTCAAATAGTTCATCAAGTAAGTATGCTCAGCAGCTGTGCTAGATTAATGATCAATACTTTTTACAATGTACGTTTTTCTATGATAGAATACGGTTTATTCTTGCTCAACACTATCACAAGAAGTGGTCGCTCGGTGCTTCGAACATGAGGAGAAAGTATTAGATTCATTTGCGTCTTATTTTAGTTACATTTCATCCAGACTCCTTCGAAATCGTGACCGTCTTGTTCAGGCTCTGAAAAAATCTAACATGAGCCCAATTGTACCTGACGCTGGTTATTTTCTTCTGGTTGATATAAGTCGATTCAGTGAGTTGTTATAAAACTTGTATAGAAACATGAATTGATTCTTTCTATGCCAAAGATGAATTTTAATCAGATGAGTTTGACGCAAAAGACCACAAATTCATTCGATACTTAGCCAAAAGAAAAAGTTGATATCACATCTAGTTTTCCTTTAAAAGTAAATTAATAAGAAGTATTCTTGGTAGAAGCTATCAGCAATGCCTGCAACAGGCTTTTACAATTATGAACACCGATATTTAGGCGAAAATTACATCAGATTTTGCTTTGCTAAGGTTAGTTTGAATTGGATTAGAGCCTTTACTGTGGCATATGTGTTTTTCATTCTTTGGCATTCTTTAGACAGACGAAACTTTAGATAAAGCAACAACTATTCTCAAATGTCTATGATTATTGCTCGCTAATGTACTCAACGATAATACATAAATTCTTTTTGCTTTACTACATGCAACACAACATTATAAAGTAATCCAGAAAAATGAATGATTCTACATATGTATCGGCAAAACACTATTCCACTGTTTAAATCTATTCTAAGGTTTAATCTCATTTTTGTGCATCATTATCAATTATTTCTAATGAATGTGAAAATAAATCGCAAACGACCGAGAGCCCTTAGAATTGCATTTGTCTTTATCGATAATCACTATAATAACATAAGTCATCTTAGTTCACAAGTAGCGCATCGACTCTAAGAGCCTCACGTCGCTCAATCCTGGAAGGTTGTCAACAAAATTCTAGTGATGTAATTCTCGTTGTCCCTTCCATATCGAAACCCTTGTGTGTATTTTGACATCTATCGCCGATGATAGAAAAAAAGAACTGATAAAAAAACCCGCTGAAAACTACATTTCCAGCGCTCCCATGTTGATATTTTAAACTCACAAACGGTGTAAGACGGGTGTGGGTGTGGATGTGGATGTAGGTGGTGTGGATGTGGGTGAGGGTGTGTGAGTGTGGGCGTTACTTATATCGTATTTCCGATTCATACCTATATCACACCCACACTCACCAACCCTACACCCACACCCACAACCCATCCACACCCACACCCACACCCACCCACACTCACCCACACCCACCTACACCCACACACACCCACCCACACCTATATCCACACCCCACACCCACACCCCACCCTAAAACTGATAGACGAAAAGTTAGTTAAGAACTAACAACCATTAAATTTTAGTTTTCATCATTTTCTGTCACATAAATCCGCCGGATTCGTTGACCTAATCCGACAAGAAGTTCATGGGACACTATTCCGCACCATTGAGCCATTTCTTCAATAGGTATATGCTCACCAAAAATCTCGACTTGATCATTGACTTTAACTTGTCCATCAACGTCAGTTAAATCGATCATTGTCATATCCATAGAAATGCTAAGTATAGGTACCCGATGGCCACATATCCATGCTCGGCCTTCGCCATGGTTCAGACGACGTCGAAGGCCATCTGCATACCCAATACTTATAACGCCGATTAGGGACGAACGGTTTAATCGCTGCTGAATATAACCAACAGTCTCGTTTTCACAGACTGATTCAAGGCGAACGATGGGAACAAAGAGCGAAGCGACAACCTTTTGAAATTTAATTTTTGGCTCTGTAGGCCAAATACCGTATAGACCGGCCCCCAGTCGAACCATGTCCAAATGAAGGTTCGGGTGACGAATTATTCCACATGAATTACATAAATGTTTGATTACACTATAGCCTAGTGCTTTTTCGATGGCCTGTGCATTCGAAATAAATAAATCAGCTTGGTTCTGTGTAATAACATCCAACTCAGGACAGTAACTTCCAATGAAATGACTATAAAGCGATTTGACATGAATACGATGAGAATTAGCAATAAGCTTATTAATCATGCTGGGAAGTTGATTGAGACTGATGCCAAGACGATGTAAACCCGTATCTAATTTTATATGAACATCTGGAAATTGAATTATACCTTCTTGATCTAACGAAAGAATTTATGATAACACACATTCGACTAATGCAATCGTCTTACCTTCTATTTGCTTGAGAAATTCAAGAAACTTATCAAATATATACATTGAGTATATAACAGGTTCAAGATTAAACTGACGACATATGCCAAATTCAGACTCATTAACAACCATGACCATGATAGGTAAAGATATATGAGCAGCGCGACGTAGTTCTACACCTTCACTGGCATAAGCCACACCCAAATAGTCGACAAAGCCTGTATCCTTTGCCCATTGAGCAATCGGTACGATACCAGTACCATATGCAAAAGCTTTGACCATTATCATGAGCTTTGTATTCGGTTTCAAGTGCTCGAGGAAGTGACGAAGATTATGTTTCAATCCTGCCATATTTATTTTCATTACGGCTGATGTAAGAGCCATAATTTCTGAAATTTTTCCAGTCAACTATAATGATCCAATACTCAACGACACTTTCATGCTGCAGAAAAGGACTAAAGATAATATTTTCAAACAGCCTTTCCTTCTAACTATCCTAATGTGACTGCCTTTCACAACAGAGTTGGTTTGGCCCATGATATGAACGGTGGGGTGTGGGTGGTGGGTGTGGGTGTGCGTGTGTGTGTGAGTGTGTGGTGGTGGTGTGGGTGTGGATGTGTGTGGGTGGGTGTGAGTGTAGGTGTGGGCGTGTATTGGTGTGGATATGGGTGTGGGTGGATGTGGGTGTGGGTGTGGCTGTGGGTGGGTGCGAGTGCGGGCGCGGGTGTGAGTGTGGGTGTGTGGTGGTGGTGTGTGTTGGTGTGGGTATGGGTGTGGGTATGGGTGTGAGTGTGGGTGTGGGTGTGATTGTGAGGCTCCTCATGCTACCGACTCCCACACCCACATCCAAACCCACACCCACACCCACACCCACACACCCACACCCACACCCAGATTTTTTAGACTTTAGAAAATATACGAATTTGTAGCTTTTGAAAAGCGCTATCGAATGAACTATACCAGAATTTTGGTACCTTTAGTTTTTCCGATAAAATATCCGTTGAAAGATAAAAATTAGTGATAAATAAAGACCATATGTCAACAGTGTCTAATAATATGCCAGATCTTGTTCTCACTGAATGGAACAAGGAACTATTAATTCTTATATAGGACTACAGTCCTATCAAGAAGCTATCAAATACTTAATTTCCCAACCATTTTTTCTTATCAACTTACACCAAAACTGGGTCGACCATGGATATGGTCGATTATTGAATTAGTGCCAAAAAATGAGTAACTTTGTAAATAGCTTTTCGATTCAAAAGTTCGATCGAAACCCCATCAAAATAGCATCAAAATGTTCATTTTAACTTGCTCTTTCGAATGATGTATGGCTCAATAGGGTTATCACGGAAAATTCCCAATGGACCGATTTGGCCTCTTATGCGCCCCCCGTCCTTGAGGTATAAAGATGAATTAGGAAAGGTTTTCTTCACTATTACCAGGACAAAATATAGTTTTGTTCGGGGCGATTATGGAGTTTGTAGGGTTCCTCTTTCATATGGCCCGAACAACACTATGTTCTGTCCTTATAATAGTAGGGTGAATTTTTCCTGTAGCTCATGGACACAGCTTTTCTTATCAACTATCAGAAAAATCTACTCCACTATTATAACAGAACATAGTGTTGTTCGGGCCATATGAAAGAGGCACCCTACAAACTCCATAATCGCCCCGACCAACACTATGTTTTGTCCTGATAATAGTGAAGAAAACCTTTTCTAATTCATTTTTATACCTAAATTTAAAATCTCGATATCTCCCTCTAGGGAAGCCAACAGCCGCTAATATTTTAACCTTGTTAGTTTGGCGGTGAGAGCTTTCGTTTGACGCCAAAATATCAAGTCTAACTCGGTTACAGTACAAATATCTCCATTGTTAGTGGTATAATCTTAAGCCCAAAACTTGTTCCACCTAGCCCAGAAAAGAAAACGGTGGATAAAATCGAACACAACCGCGATTGGCCTCAACAGGTAATAAATCTACGGAGCATTATTACTATTATTTTTATAAGGCCTTTTACGACCGTATTGGGTCGTCGGAAAGCCCGTCCTGGAACATATTGGATAGACAGTGAAATGAAACACAGAAAAAAACAAGCTTTCTCCAAAAACTAAATACGATCGAAAAATCACCAAACGCAAACAACCGAAGTCTTACTTTAATCAGTCCAGTTTGCTGTCATAAAAATGGAATAGACAAAATATGACAAAATGATGTTGGGTGTTACATCTGTTAGACGAAGTTGCTCTCTTCTAGTGACTATTTTTTCATCCTAGGCAAATATTTTTCTATTCAAGAAAGAGAAACCTAGTATGACGACGTGCGCAATTCTCTACTTTCGATCGTGCATCTAAACAAACCCTCAAGGTCGTTGCTGTACTGCAGCAAACGTAAAAAAAACTCATTGCACCGTTCTGCTTCTATTGTGAATATTTAACGAATAAATACGTCCGCGCAAAAGAACAAAAACTTACTCTCATCACAGTAGTGGCTTTCTACCCACAAATAAGGTAACGAATAGTATCAAATAATGCACACAAAAATTGCCTTGTCCTGCAGATGAATGTGAAGGTGTCGATACCATAGCGTGGATCGGCGTCTAGGTAGGTATAGGGTCCGGATGTTGGTGCAGCTGTCGGCGTATCGCTGCGGATGTCTGGGTGCACGTGGGTGTGAGGTGTGGGTGGGTGTGGGTTTGAGGTGTGGGTGTGGGTGTGGATGGATGTGGATGTGGATGTGGCTGTGGGTGTGGATAAAATAAGAAAAACACCCACATATACCTACACCCACACCCACACCCTCGTGCATTATATTTGTCCACATTTACTTGATAAATTTGTCGTGAGCTTAAATTGGTGATTGCTGGTACTGGATTCTGTATGTAAAAAGTTTAATGTGATGAGGTCGTTCCTTCTTTTTTTTACAGATTACGGCTACTTACATGACGAAGTGATTGCACTGATGTCGATGATATCTATGAACATCTAAATAATATCACATTAAAATCTATTCAAATATATGAACATTTATGATTTTAATATTCAAGTGATAGCTTGAAGAGTGAATATAAGTTCAAAGAGAGTAATTGATAATTTGTAAAAAGAAAAGATCAATCATGAACGAAAAGAAGATACACAGTCAGATGTTCGGCAATATGTATACAGAGAAAAAGAATAAATAAAAGGAAAGGAAAGTGAAAGAATAGAAAAATAAGAAATGAGGAATAAGGGAATAGAGGAATACGGAATAACGGAACAAAAGAATAGTGGTGGAACGGTGGAGGAATATAGGAATAGTGAAATAGCGGAATGATGGAATAGAAGAATGAAGGAATAACGACCGAGCGACCGGAATACATTTTGAAATGCTCCCTTACATTGTCTTATAAGATAATATGCATGGAAATAGGATTTCAATGACAAACAAAGATTCTATGTCTAACAAATTTCCGTATTATGCATGAATATTTCATATTTTCGGCAAAAAAGATATAAAGTTTTACTTTTATCTTTATTAGATTTTTCAATCTCAATAATATAAAATACCCTTGAGAGACCGATGCGAGAAAAAACAAAATAAAAAAAAATGTTTTCTTTTAATATTTTCTCATGTCATAGGATTTAATTTTTTTCAAAAATCTACGGTAAAATGAAACTGACTTATTCATGCAATTTTAACACACTGAAAAACAGAAAAGCAACAATTGTGTTTCTCTAAAAGTGATTGTAATCGAGCAACTTGAAATCAGTAGATGATTGTATCAATCACTTGTAAAAAAAGATTAAAATCGATTGCTTATTAACTCTTATTAAGTACACAGTTTGACATATTGTATCATTTGTCTGGATGATAGTACAAGCAGCCTTGTTGAATGATTCCAGACTATTTACGAGCTGTATAATTGTTAAGCATAATATTAAACAACTATATTGAATTAAATTACACGAACAAAATTCTTCGATGATACTCTGTCAAATTCCGAATTATTATTTTGTACGTGTGATCTTTAATGAAGTCCCCACCAACATCCCACACTCACTAATAGAAAGAATACGTACTGCTTTGTTGAAAAGATGAAGTTTCATGAAACTGTAAAATATATAAAATGAATCAAGTTTATTTTTTTTTGCGTAATTCAATGTACTGTGTTGCTATCGTTAGAATTGATAAAGCTCCAGTAGTTTTAGCTAATTAATATGGTTTTTGAAGTTTTTCCAATGCAATATGAAAATTTTCCTGTTTGAAATTAACTAACCCAAGATTTAAATAGATCTTCGCTGTCGACTGATAATCCAATAATCTGATATAATATAGATCTGCTTCTGACCATTGATCCATTTTAAAAAGAATAGTTCCAGTTTTTTTGAATATATCTATCAGAAATGAATTGAATGACCTATTCAACTAATCAGATATAATTAATACTTCTGCTTTTTTAAAAATATTTTAATGTTTCATCATTATTCTTGAGATCATAATAGTTCAATCCAATATAGTAATATATAATTATATGATCGTTTGAAGTCATTTCTGCTAATCGCGATCGAATATTGTGTTTATAATAGTTCATTGCATGAGTCAGCTCATTTTGTGTCGTATAGACAATAAATATTTTCATGTGTATTAGAAGACTATGATGAGGTTGTGAAAATTCTAATGCTTTACCATAGGATACAAATGCTTGTTGCTAGTTTTGAGTTTGGTAACGACTATTGGCACTATCGGCATAGATAGTGCCCAAATCAATAGATGATAGAGTATGTGCAATGTCAATTGCTTTTTGTAAATATTCATCAGCTTTCTCAAATTCTTTTAGATCATTCTAGGCAGTTGCTAAATGTTTATAACAAGAAAACAATGATAGTTGCCCTTGATTCTTACAAATTATTAATGATCTTTTAAGCTAGTCAATCGATTCAGCATACTTCTGATGATCAGCTAAATTTATTGCAACTGTTGGAAAGAGAGAATCCGTAGCATCCGTATTATTTGGCATTGATTGAAGATGATGTACGAAACCTTTTTTCCAATAGAATTCTGGTTTTGAGTAATTTTCAGATTGTTCGTAAGTCACAGCCAGATTACAAAAGACTCGTGATATTAATGGAATATTGAATGGTAATGGTTTTGTATAATCTAACGCTTTCTAAATATAATGTAATGCTCGTTCCGTATTTCCAAGTTTACAATAAATATATCCAACGTTATTGTAACGTGTAGCTAATAGAAGATCAATTGTTTTTATGTAATCGTCCGAAAGTATTATGTCAAGTGATTTTTGACTAAGTTCTAACGCTGAAAAATGATAACAGTATTAATTTATCTCTTAGTAGTTGTACATTAAAAATGAACTCTTACTAGTCACATATATAGCAGAGGTCTCAATGGGCCGGGTCGGGCCAATAAAAACCAGTCCATGGGCTATCAACATCGGCCCGGCCCAGCCCATGGTTTTTCCTAAAAAAACCGGCCCGCCCATGGGTGCCCATGGGCCACTCATCTGATTGATACTTTTTCAGACAGGCATGTTGACTTGCCATGCTAACTGAAGTAATTAAGATGCTAAGCACTTTATCGTATGGCGTCACGAGTTTTCTTTCTTTAATTAGTTTTAGCTAGGCGTACATATGTCAAGTCGTCATTTT